TTTTAAATTACCCATAGAAGCCTTTGAAATTGATATGTTGTTATTTTGCATCTAATCGACAGTTTTTTCTGTCTTTTTTAACTTATACCTTTTTCCACTCAACTTACATGCTTATTATTATAAAAATAAAAAGATGAAAAGTTCAAAATAAAAATAATTGTATAAGTATAATAAAAAAGCTTCCATAGTATGTGTTACCCTTATAGGCTATGTTGTGGCTACTCAAGAAGTTCTGTGATTATCAGTCACAAGATGGCGGTGAATTTCTTCAGCTTATGTGGTATGTGTTTTCTGTTTCATATTGGTGAGGTATGCTTTATTTTTCATTTAATTAATAGTAATAATTTCTTCATCAGTAATTTATTTTTTTTTTACCATCAGTAATTTGTTGTGCCCTGTTTTTTATTTGTTAAAATTGAGGCAATTTCATACTCTGTTTGATGGCATGTAATTGATAAATGATGTTTTGAACATCTCTCCCTAAAGTAAGATTCATTTTAAAGAAGATTCAAAAGCCCTCCTAAAAAATTTGTACATTGTGAGGATTGGATAAATAACTAAATCATTCTGTTATAGTGCATGTTCATAATATGCATGTTTTTATGAGAGGCAAGCATATCTGTCGTGTTATGTGAACCCTACAAGTCTTGCTTCTTAGATGTACTTACACGTGCAAGCTAAACATAATATATTACAAGTTAAATTGATAATTCTCTTGCCTTATGTTGTTCCTTCCACTGATTTAGTTTAGTTTTCTATCATGTTTTTAATGTATATTTTTCTTATTAAACATGCTTTTTGAGGTTGAGTTAAATCATTTTTCTTTAATAATATAATCTAATTTGAGTTACTGTTACTGATTGAGGATTAACAGTATTGTGTAATTCACTTAGTTACTATTATGCTTAGTTCTTATTCAATAAAGTCTAAACATTAGCTAGACCTTTTATAATTAGTCAATAAAACTAATGAGCAAATGAATTGGTATGGAGAGAGTATCAAAGTGATTGATCATGGCATTGGAGAAATTACAAAGTTTGACAAAAACTATATAAAAGCAAAAGTCTTGCATTGACAGCCTTATACAATTGCTTATTGTATAAAAGTCTGATTTGTTCATTGACAACCTTAGGCACGTTATATAAAAGCAAAAGTCTTGCATTGATAACCTTATACAAAATTTTATAATTGCAAATACTCCTTTTATGGGATATGAATGCTCCTTTTCAGTGGGGCTTAAACTTATTTTTAAGTTTCTTATTGTTAATATTTTGATTATGGCAATGTTACTTTTAGACCATCAATTAAGGGGGAGGCATGTTCCTATTAGTCTAGGGTCATATATAAACATTTTCATTTATTTATACAAGCATCTTCATTTATATAAGGTTATCTATGTGGCTTATTCCTGTTAGTCTATGGCCACATATGAACATCCACCGGTCAATTAACTATCATAATTTTAGGAGTCTAATGGCAGCAAGTCGATTGCAATCCTAACATATCTCTAATAATGTCTCTAGACAGCTTTCCTTTGCCAGCATGTTCAAGTTATGAGTACTAAATGTAATTGCTTGCTTTTTAAATTTCTTATTGGAACACGTTTCAGTTAATTGATATACTCAAACTCGAGAATTGTTAAATTTTTGGCATTGCCTTGTCTTTTTGATAGAATAGAGAAATTTCAAGTTACAAGTGACATAATAACCTCCTGTTGAATCTGTAGTCATCTGTCAATTCTTTTCCATCACAATTTGAGTTTTGCAGAAAGTCAACACTGGCTTTTTTAAAAATTTTCAGACTAAGCTGAAAAAGGATGCAATAAGTAAAGAGAGATAATATGCGACAAGAACCACAACTTTTTGGTGAAAACTGAGGCTACAAATTCAGCAAAACTATTATCCCAAGTCTACGTCATTTCCCAATTTGTGCTTAATAGCCTTGATCATTCCAAAAAGTCTGTATGTATCTATCTGCAAATATTATAATGCATTTGATAGGTCATATTTATGCTGCTTGGTGCAATGCCAGTGACAGTTACTGCCTCTCATAAAACACATTTTGGTTCTACTTTGGTTTTATGGTTCTTTGTTTGGTGTTCTTTTTCCCCCACTTCTCCCTTGCCTTTTTACTTTATCTCTCATCTTCTCTCTTTGTTTATTTTTGTTCTTCAGTTTCAGTTAACTTATTTATGCAGGTTATGTGTAATTTTAGCATATTGATACATGTGCTTTTATGAGTAACTCTTTAGTATAGTAACTTTAATTTGTGACAATGAGATTGGCACCTAGATAATTGCATAAAAATTGCAGGTGGTTCTTCCACAAGCAAAAAATTGGTGTGAGTCATGTATGTTCTCTATGCATAATATTATTTGAGTATCATCAGAAGTATATTTAACCCGTGGGTAAATATGGCTCACAATATATAACACATTTAAATTTCGTTTTGATGATAGTTCCACCAAATCTATGTACATAAAATGGCTCCGCTCACAAATTACAGTTCATAGAGCCATGTAGATGTAGGCAAATATGGCTTCGTGCTTGAATATGTGGCTTGGCATCAAGCTCCACCTTGTGCATAGAGGATCGGTCCTTTCTTTGGTGATGCAACCATCAATTGTTAAAAAATAAATGTTCAGCAGACGCAACCCAATGAGGGATGTGTCCTAATGTGTCAATTTTGTTAGAAAGACTATTAAACCCTTATTGATCATTTGAAGCCATGATGTGTTGTGTCTTCAAAGATCTTAGTATGGTTGTCATTTTTAAATTTTTTTTAGGTCATGGCATTTATTGTTAGGCCAATTGTCTCTTTATATAAGTGCAGGATGAAATCAAACAAGTGTGCATGTTGGTCATTTTCACTTGCATGTGAACTATACACGCACTTCCATTTTTATGACAATGTTTAGATGGCAGAGGAAGGAAGATACAAAGCTTAACACTATAGGTGCAAGGCAGCAGAGTCAAGAGCAGACTGAAAATGATCGTCTCTCTTGTGGCTTCCTTCTTTTCTTGCTTCTCCTTTTTCCCTTTCCTTAAGGCATATCAAAAGGTCCTTTTTCTTAGACCCTGATTCAGCACTTCAAAGGATGCGGAGGAGGTTGCGTGTATTATTATTTCTTTTGTATGTATTGTTGCATGAAGAAGTTAAAATAGAGAGCAGCAATGCAGTAAAAGAAGCTCCCTTAAAACACACATTGTAGTATTACCAGAGAGAACAACAGTGTATTGATAATGTATGTATTTATTTTAATTTTAGATTTTGTAGTGTTATCATTTATTTTAATAAAATATTTCTGCTCGTACTTTGATTGGAATTTCTCCTTGCTTTAATTGTTTTGCTGGTTATTTAAATTGCTAATAACTATTTAGTTTGTTGATGAAACTTGCAAGTCTTGAACTACTTGATTAGTTCCAAATTATAAAAAAAAATGTTCTTTTTAAGGTGCATTGTAAACTTTAGCCTTTTGAGAAACACTTGGATTGCTATGATATTCTTTTTATTAAAAAAATTTTCTTTTACTTTTAATGAATTTTTCATCAAGTATTCATTAGCATTGATATGAATTTGTCTTTTTGTGTTATGCTTCTTTTAATTATAATTGTTTCAATATAAGAAAAATTAAATACACACATATAAAGTCAATTTTAAAAGTGGGGCTGAAAATCCATACAATTTTAATTTCTTTTTTAAACAAGCTGTTAGTGCCTCTCTAGGTCCAAAAAAAAAAAGATGAATGGCTGAAAATTAATACAATTTTTTTAAAAAAAAAGAATGGATGAAAATAAAAGGTGAAAACTAATATAGAAATCTTTACCATTTTTTCTTAGTTCTTAAGGAGGTCCCTAAACTTACATAAAATAAAAAACTTGCAGAATGTAATATCATAAATAAATGTCTAATAGTTTTAATTTCTTTGCACAAAAGATGACTAAACAAGAAAATTTTGCAATCAATAGATTATTATAAGAATTAATCACTATATTTAATCAACATTTATGCATAATCTTCCTGTGCATCACATGAGGAAGTAAAAGCATGGTATGTGGCATTTTCAAGGGTGAGAATCATGAATGGGCTACAAATTTTGTTGCATGATCATCAAAATACTGGTAGAAGAGCAATTGTAGATGTTGTTTAGAGAGAGATCTTTTGGTACTTGGGCTAATGAGATTTCATGTATCTGTTTTGATTGTCTTCCCTTATATGCTTGATTTCATGATGTTGTACTAATGGGTTAATATATATATATATATATATAATGGAAGTTGCAAATAGATGAAATGAAATTTCTTTATATTAGAAATGCATTCTATTACATGATAAAATAACAACATCTCGACTAATATAGGAATGATATCAATAAAAAAAATAAAGTGCAGTATTAAATTTGATATAATTTTTGCTCCTCGTGCACCGCACGGGATAGTAAAAGGTAGTTTTAGTATATATATAATCGATTATATGATCTTAGATTTTTAGCATATCTTTAAAATGGATGAAAATTTTAAGTAGATAAATATTAATTTGAATTCAAATATGATCATATTTGAATTTCAAATAGGTATAAAATAATTTTTATATACATCCAAAAATTAATAATTCATCTTATTCTTAACTCCAAACCTGAATAATATATTTTATATACATTAAAAAATAATAAACCATCCTGAACCTAACCCCAAATTTAACTCTAAAGCATAGAATTGCAAAAAAGGCATCTTGGAACAAAGAATTGCAGCAAACCTAGAAATGAACATGTGGCATTTTCTCCTAACCTTTAACTCTACTTTTATATATATACATATATAATGATTTCCAGGCAACAATTGAGAATCAATGAATTAAAATTTTTGGCAACAGTCCTTTTGAAACGGGAAAACAAACACACTATAAGCTCAATTATGAACATTTGCAAGTCACAAGAAGACAGGAACACAATCACATAATAAAACACACCATATCAAGGAAAGGAAAACATAAACCACACATCAAATAATTTCCACTATGGAAAAATCAATAATGGCCTGGTTGAACAAATAGAATGCAGATGTTAAAAAGTGAAATGGAATGTCCAAGGAAAAAATACCATAGCTTCATTGCTTTACCATGCTTTTCCGCACTTTCTTCTACTTCTATTTCTATGTTTTGTTACAATTTGTGCCGCTGAGGAAGGAATCTTAAGCCTTGCAACCCAAAATTTCATCTCCTCTTTCCCCATATAGCAACTCAGCAAAACAATTCCGAAGAGAAAACCTAAAATCCATTCCTTGAATGCTTTCCTTTGCCACAACTGAATCATAGAAAGTCCGACAAAGAAAAAACATGAGACCTTCAGAAACATGTCTAACCCCAAAATTTTCCAACACATTAGTCCCATACCACAGATTAATACACAAACAAACCCAGATAGTTTTCTACTTGATTGCTTTTTCCTTCTCCATCCATTCAAAGCTCCCCCTCTAAGAACTTTCTGAAGTTCCAAGAAAATCCCATTTCCATCACTTTGGGCAAATTCTCCAATAAGAGAATTTAACGGCTGTGGCAAGATATTGAGATTCAGTGCAACCATGGATGCTAGCTCAAGCATCAATTTTCTTGATGGTTGAGAGCTCCCTTGCCGTCCAGTCTTTCTAGCACATGTAACAGGTTGTTGTATCCGAATCAAAGAGAGAAAACAGGGATAGTTGGCTACAGAGATGGAATTGCGACGACAATTAGTTTTGGTACTTGTGTGTGATACAATTAGGTGATTGCAGTGGCTATTGAAGATGCTCATGGAAGACAATCCAAATGCCATTAATCAGATTTCCGAAATACACAATACAAAACACAACGCTGCAATTAGAAGACAAGAATATGATTAGGGGCAAGAAGTTACAGCAGAATCATGAAAAGTGGGAACCTACTAGTTCCATGCAACCAAAAGTAAATAACAACCCATTAAACCCAATCAGTTCAACGCAAGACATCTTTTACACACGAATGGAGAACATTTTGATGGAATCACTATTGCTGCGCAGACCTATAAAAGGAAATGTAAGCCACTTTCTAATGGTCAGAACATTGACCTTGGTAATCCTAAGGTTCTCGAGAAAAGAATGAAGAACCAGAACTGCTTGTAGGGTTTCTATAGACCCGGTCTAGTAGACAGTTAATTTGGGGACTGTAAGAGTTACTTTTTGACATATAGCAGTCGTTGGAGTCTCTCAGTGAGGTAGTCATATTTTGTGTAGAATTTGGTGAGGAGAAAATGGCCTCTCGAAAGCCAGAAGTTATGTTCTATGCTTGAGTGTTTCTTTGTGATTCCAGCGTTGTTTTCTGTTTCTTGTGATTGCTGGTTGTAACATGGTAATAGGAATTTGGCTAGAATCAGTGAGGGCCATTGTAACACTTGATTCAGTATTTTGAACTTTGAACTAGTAATATCAAATCCTAAGGATTTCCCTCATTTATTGCTTCTACTGTCTTTTATTTCTGTGATTGACTATAACAAGAAGCAGGGTTGCATGATTGCATCGCATTTCAACCACACACAGCTTTTGATAATCTATTCCTTATGGACAAAATGTCCTGGATAATCTATAGGTGCTAGGAAATTTGGGTCATAAACTATATGTACGAAACTTAGGTGTCCAAGGGCATGTCCAATGAGAACAGAAAAAAAATTTGACGCCTGCATAAATTAAGATAAAATGATCTAAATTTGGCGAAATACAGGTTTCCATGGAAAAAATAATGATAATAATAAGGCAGAGAGGCTCCTCAGCTAAAAAGCCGAGAGGAAAACTTACTTGGAAAGCACAATCCATAACTTAACAAACCTCAGCCAAATAAAAGATTCTAACATTGAAGTTATGAGATCAAACTCTTGTACAACTCAAGTTTCAAGGAAGCACCAAATACAAAAGTCGCGCTTAAAAGAAAATGTGCAAACAAGAAGGTGCATCATCTCAAAATAGGAAGATTTTCAATAATAATAATAAAAAAAAAGGGTAATTCGGTGAATTCTGGCTTCCTTTTTATTTTAATGAAACTTATTAATTTCTTGCTTTCACATACTCCTTTCTTCTTTTCCCTAGATAGCAGGCGTTATATTCGAAGCACCACTAAGAAAGTTCAAACAACGCCAGTAGTTCGGAAACACAATATAGAGAAACAAAATTTAAACCCAGAATTAGAATCAATCCAAATCCTCTAAGTTCAGAATACGAACGAGAGTAAAGAGTTATATTTGTATTATTACATCCAGGGGAAGGATATAAACAAATGAACGTGCTCAATCGCATTGTTGTCATTCTAAATATACATAAAGCTTTCAAAATATATAAAAGCAGATAATTCATATTGAATATTGAACAAAAGTAATTTCTAGAAAATTTTAGTGACTCACATTGAACTTTTGACAATGGAAGACGAAAGGGAACCAGAGCACCAGGAGATTCGAAGTTTAGAATCCAGATCTGGAAGCCCAGGCAGCGTGCCCGAGAACGAAGGAGTGGGAAGCGGTGGCAGCGATGGTTGCTCCGTCGTTGGCGGAGGAGGAAGAAGAATATTTCGGTGTGATACCCATGCAGCAGACACCGAACTACTGAAGATCGAGAAAATCAAAATGGCAACGGACCGGAAGCAGCCGCTGGAGTAAGCGTAAGAGGAAGGAGAGGAAATTTGGGTTATTCAAATTTTAATGTCGTTTTATAGAGATTTTACAATTCAGGCAATTATATATGTATATGTATAGCCAATTGACAAGAAGATATTTAATTATTTAATTATTTTTATAAAAAAGAATTTATTGTTTTGTTATTATAAAATTATTCATCTATTCCATATTTTTATGGTATTATCTCTTATTTGTTGTATCAATTATTTTTAAATGTTATTTAAAGTAAATTTTATTTTTACAAACAAATAACTTCTTAAAATAATTAGAATTTTGTTTTTCTTCATATTATGTTTATTTTAGCTTTAAAGGGTTACTTTAGAATTAAAAATAAGTAATTTTCTAATAGTTTAAAAATTTTATAAAAATATTTTTATTTTATGTAAAATTTAAAAATAAGTATTATTTTATATTTATTTATAATAATAATAAATAATTATTAATTATTAATTTTATCTTTTATAGTATTTTCATGGATTTCTATTTTACAAAAATATTTTACTATTATTTAATTACTTTAAAAATTTTAAAATTTTAAATAAATACAGTAAAAAGTGAATTTTTTTAGAAAGATGATAATAAAATTTCTTTAAATTATATAAATAATAATTTTACTGAAGTCTTTAAGAATTTTTTTCATTAAAAAATTTATATAAATGACTAAAGTATCATTGTTACAAATATAAAAAAAAATTATGATTATTTTAACAAAACACTTGAATCATTTTATTTTTAATATGAGCAATCTGGTCATTTAGATAAATTTATTAATGACAGAAAATTCTTTAAAAATTTCAGTAAAATTATAGTATTTTAAGAGATTAAATTATTATTTATATATTTTAAAGAGATTTTAATATCATCCTCTCCTTTTTTTAATAAAAAATTTCAAACAAACTCACTGCAAATCTTTTTAAAAAATAAGTGATATTTTTATTAAAAAACTTAAAGAGCCCTGGAAATATGGGTCTTTCAGAATTTGATCTCAATGTCAGGTTAAACCAAAAAAAAAAAAAATCTAAATACTAATGAGAGTTAGATTTAGTAGAACATGTTAGTTTTATATGACATGGCAAATCAAAATTCTAATTCTTATTCTGATTAGGTGCCTGCATGTAGTATTTGATCATGTTTTAAATAAAATTATTTTTAATAAGAAGGCATGTAAGATTAATAAAAAAAATCTAAATGTTTTTTTAATGCCAAAAGAAAATAGGGTTAATGAGCTATAATCCTAAACTTTTACTTAAAAATTATACTAAATCCTAAACTCTTAAAATATATAAAATAAGGTAATAAATCCTAAACTTTTAAATTTATAAAAAAATAAACTCTAACCGTTAATTTTTTTAACATCATTATTATACATATGGGTGCTGTAACAGTCAGTTAAATTTATAAAAAAATAAACCTATGTGGACAATAACAGTGTTAAAAAATTAATGGTCCGGATTTATTTTTTTATAAATTTAAAATTTTAAAATTTATTTTATATATTTTAAGAGTTTAGAATTCAGAGTGATTTTTGAGTAAGAATTTAAAATCTTATTTGTTCATTAACCCAAGAAAATAAAAAAGTAAAAAACTGTCATTTTCAGCTTTTGAAGCATGAGTATAAGCATAAGTTTGGGGAATAGGACGACATAATAGTATGAGTATAGAAAAAATATTTGCATGAGACAGTGTGCTGTGTCATTTGTATACTATTAATTAATAAAAATGTATTTTGTCAAATTCATTTAATCTTACACGTTGTTTTTCGTTCATGTTATTTTAAATTAATTTAATCATAAATAAAGAGAAAGACAAAAAATTAAAGAGACATTCTGTTAAAAAAGAATCATTAAAAATTATAACATATGAAATTTTATTTAATTAAATTAACGTAATTTAATTGGATAGAATATTAATGAGATATTGTATTGATTTCATGCAAGAATTTCTCCACGTGTCGGAATAATAAGATATATGTTGGGGAAAAAAAGAATAATTAAATGTTAAAGTGCCAGCATTTCACGGTTGGTTTGGTCCAATCCAATAAAGTTTGATCAACGAATTAATGACATAATAATTAAATAAAAAATTATTAAATAAATAAATATATAGATATAATAAATACAAGAAAAAATTTATAGTATGTGAATAAATGGCATAACATTACTGTAAATTAATAATATTATAATTTATAATTGTCAAATATAGGTAAATTTTGATTAAATTAGATATGAGTGAATTCAAAAATATATATATTTGTATATGTAATTGTCAACATTTTTATAAAAAAATAATTTTAAGTCATATTTTATATATGTGAATTGTCTAAAAATAAAGTTGGTTTTAGTTTAATCTAATGTTTGAATTTTTTTTAATTTTCTTAAATTTTTTGAGTTTTTTTTAATATTATGTTTTAAAATCATCTAGTTTTTTGAAAACTATTCTAATTCTTGATTTAACTTCAGTTTTTGACTCAATAATAGCTTAACTTTGATTCAGTCTAGCTTAATCATGAAAATAATTTTTTAATTTAAACTAAGCTATTGACAGCCTATTGATGATTCGACGATCTGGTTCTATTCAGGGCCTCTTGGGATACAAACTTTTAACTTTTGGGATGTACTTTTGTACTTTTTGGATATATGATATTGTTTGAGAATTTTATGATTAGGTAAACTGACTTTTTGAATGTACATTAAAAAAGCTATTGAATGTGAATTTGAAAATTTAACTTTTTGAAGTTTTTCAAACTGACTTTTTGGTGTTGAGTTTTTGAATTTATTATACTATCCTTATTCCCTTATAGTACTTATTACGTGTTCTGTTTTATTAAAATTTGAATTTAGTGCAATAGCCACAAGATCAAATAGGTTATATAAGGAGGCAATTTTGTAAACCTTCTATATATGAAAAAGAAAAAAATATATTTTAATCCTATTTATAGGATATGCCATTCAATATTAATGACCATTGAATTATTTATTACATTTTTTTCAATATTAAACTTTACATTTTTTATTCCTATTATTTAACATATTAAATTTTATGTTATTTTAATTTTTTTTCACATTTTTAATATATTATATTTATATAATAAAAATTATAAATTATCATAAATCAATATCATTTTTTGTCATTATATATTCAAAAATACATTTCAAAAGTACAAATTATCATTAATATAAATAACTTTCAATTTATTAAACTTACTTTTGAATAAATATATCCAAATATAAATTTTATTATAATAACTAATTTTTATTAAATTAATTTTTATTAAATGAACTTTCATCAAATGAATTTTTAATAAATTAAAAATCAAATATACAGTCAATTTGTAAATAATTGATAATCACATTCCCACTCCGCACGTCTCTCGTCCTTTCTTTTATTTTTTGTTTTTGTTTTTTAGTCTTGCCCAACCTACACCTGCGGGCTCTTTTTTCCTGGGCGGTCCATAATTTCTTTTTCCTTTTTCTGTAAATCATGAAATATATTTTGGTCCAAAAAAAAATCATAGAATATATTTGTAATTCCTATAATTTCCAAAATTATAGAGGAAGTCCTTGATTTCGGTCAAAATTCCTAAACCATCATGTTAAGACGAGTTACGTCATGCCTGAAAAAATTTACAAATCAAAGATGAGGGCTAAGTCAGGAGTTAGAGCTGAGTGTCACAATCTCTATTCAAAAAGAAAAAAAAATCATGAGATTACAATGCTTTTGTAGACGTCCAAAACCATGCAGAAATTTTTAAGACAATCCAGGACATTTGAAAAAAATTTAGTATGTCCTAGAATATTTTAAAAGTATCTAGAACAATCTAAAAAATATCTAAGAAAATCTATAAGTTTTTAGAAGGTTATAAAAATTTATGAATAAATATAGAGATGTCTATAATATTTTAAGATATTCTAGAATGTTATAGAACATTCCACACATATCTTAAATATTAATCCAAAAATATCCTTATAAATATCTAAATATTTATTATAGATATTTTTACAGCACACTCTAGAAGATGAATGTAAACAGTAGGATTAGACTTATCTCCATTGTCCATTAAAGAGGTCGAAATTTTCTAGAGAAAGAAAAAGACCTATAAATACCCCCACAACCCCTCATTTGTAAACAAGAAGAAAAAGAATAAAGCAAACATATCAATAAAGCTTTTAAGTTCTCTCATTTAAGTTCTCTTCTCTTTTGTGTTCAAGTTTTCTAGTTTTTTTGATTATATTTTGATGGCTCAACTGACTTAACAAAAATTAAAAAATTGATCACACTTAAATCGGTAGAGTTTAAAGATTAGAGAGTTTCAAAGCCATCAACCTAAGGCTCTAGATTTTTTTTTTTCACTTTTAAAATGTTTTTTGGACAAGTGGCACCATGAACTTTAGACAATTCCTCCTTCTTATGATTTTTATATGGGTTAAGTGGGCCAACTCTAACCCATAAGAATCGACCCACTTTTTGTTTAGGCCCTAAATGATGTGATTTAAAAAAGCTCATTTTTATTTGGACCAAGGCCTTTACAACCCAACCCATATAATGAGTTATTAGGCCAACAATATAACTCAACCCATATTTCCATATGTACATATCAAAATTCAATTAATTGATGAATTTTATTTATTAGTATATAGCATATTACTTCTCCAGATTGCAAGTTACATGTGACTTCAAACACTCAAAACTGAGCTAACAAATGTCTACGCCATAGATGACATACCTGACAAAATTAAACTGTACCTAAGGGAAATAATTGAGGAGGAAAATCATAATTAAGCTCAATGCATCAATAAAGCATAGGGTCGTTGAGCTAAGTGTGGTGCAGTGCATGACGCATCAGCAATTCAAGGTTCCTTGTGAGGCATATTGTTGAAATCCACCCAATTACCAGTGCGGTCATGACTGAATCTTTAGTCACGAATCATCCAAATCTCTACCCAAACAAATATGTAATAATCCCTACGTGGAAGACCTACAGAACATAAAACACACACACCATAAACATAC